GCCGGATAGGCGGGTTTCACAGAAATTAACTGACGAACTATTAAGGATTATTATTTATTAGCTATTACAAAAATATATGATATATAAATATATGTATATTATATATACCTTATACTGTAGTAGGTGAAATCAAATTTTATGTATCACAGAGCTATTTGTATAAAAGGCATTTGTTTCACCACACGAATCATGAATTGTCATCGCTGGACATTTGATTGTCACCATCTCGTCACCAGCCTGACGATAACTTTAGGTAACATATATTTTGGATAATTAATCACGAAGAGGATTTCTAGTTTTTTCTTAGGACCTTAGGTATAATATACGTATATTTTGCATTACTTGTATTTTGTCAGAATTAGTTATTAAGTTTCTAAGTCACGCGCGCGCTTGTCCACGCGGCGAGGCGGCGCTTTTAGCGAACGATTTTTACGAAAAGGACCTTGCGCTATTCGGGCCAATCAAATTTGCAAACGAAAAAGTCGACGAGAGCGTATGTACCTTCAAGTTTGCGGGCGAATCGGCGGCGCGTCGACTCCTTTTTGTCTGACATGAGAAAAATTTTTTTAATCTGAAAATTAAAAAATGTCTAAAAAATAAAAACATCCCAAAATCGAAAGATTTTTCCAAGAGAAATCCATCGATTCAGAGATTGAGAAAAATTGAGAATCTATGGAAGTGTTTGAATATAATAAACGATTACATGATATCCCTTAAGATCTCAGACACATTTATTTAATGTAATAATAAAAAGCTAAAAATTTTCTATATCGCTTCAAAAGAAATAAAAATTGATCGAGACAAAAGACAAACAGTTTCAAAAATCCGACTCGGCCGTCATTCGTCCGACGAACATTCACTTCACTTGTATCTCGCTTCACTACACTATGTAGATCCGATCGCTTTCGCTGTATGATTTTACAAAGAATAAAGAATACCTACAAGACACAGATCGGGAAATATTTATTCAATAATCCACAATGTCCCGGTCGGGATAAAAGATAAATATATAAAATGGAATACGTCGGCGCACAAGAGGTAAGTCTGACATTTTCTCATCATTTATGTATTTTGTTCATCGCAATTTTACATAAAATGTAACGACGTTTCTTGGCGCGTCGTAACACAGAAAATAAATCATTTATCAATTAAAGAGAGATAGAACGATATTAATTGCTCGCAATAAAGGCCGGAAATTATAATTTTTATGAGAATTTTAATTTTGTGAGTTTCATGGATTGAGAAGTAAGAGAAAAACACAGGCATAATACGTTTTTCAGCAATTTATTTTAAACCTCGTGTTACAAGATAAGGCTAGCAGCAAGGCTTTGATCGTGCGCGTGCATTTGGATTTTGTGTGTATTATTCGTGTACGTAATGTGTCGCGTGTGACAGAGTGCATATGCTAATACACGTTTATGCGAATACAATAAAGAGGGCCGTGAGCGAATCAGAAATTACAATATTTCTTTTTATAGACATCTCGATTCTTATTTCTTTATCACCTCCACGATCTACGTTTATCAAGAAGAACTTTGCACGTTTCTTAAAGCGTAAAATCCTAATCGAATCGAGGAGAACTCGAAGAGTTCGTGGAATCAATTGGAGCTAAAAAGTCGGCATGCGAAAAATCCGAAACTTAAATCTCTAATCTGTCGACGGCGTGAGGATATAAAATCTCAACAGTTTTATAATTTCGCTCAAACGGTGCTTTTGATCCGCGCATTTTCGTGAGCTTACCTATCCCGAGTGCGTACAGCAACGTATACGGGGTGACAATCTCAGAGTGATCTACATCAGTAAGATCCCTAAAGATAATTATCTTTATCCGTGCATCCCCCCTTTCTCTCCTCTTCATCCACACCCGCATGCACACAGAGACAATTATGTCATTCTCATTCTCTCTCTCCTTTCTCTCTCTCTCTCTCTCTCTCTCTCTCTCTCTCTCTCTCTCTCTCTCTCTCTCTCTCTCTCTCTCTCTCTCTCTCTGCGCGTTTATACTAAATCCATTCTCTCTCGTTACAACACGTAGGTCACATCGATCGATTAGAAACGACATTGAAGACAATATGTACAGACTGATTTGTATACATGTATATGCTAAAATAGTTATTAATTTAAACAACGAGTTAGTACCTTAGCGAATATTACTTAGTGACATTATATGCCGAGCGGAACGATCGGGTCGGTGGTATCGTTCTTCATTCATATTTAGAGAAATATTTGTGACTAATTTCGTGTATTGCTATGACCTATCACGTCTCAAAATCGAAATATCAATTTTGTTTCGACATTTAAGCGATAAATAGTATTTACAAAAATACGAAGATGGTTAAAGAGCATAGTAACTTTAAAAATAACAAAATCGATTATTATTATTTTACATTTCAGGCAGTTATTTCCATCTCCTCTAAAAGATTTTCTTTTCTAATCCTCACAAATTTTTCTGATACTTACCTTGGTCAGACGCATTAAAATCACTCAGACATAGCTATTACTCGGACATACTTATTCTGATGCATAAGAAACGAATTGCTTTATCAGACAGGAAAGACAAACAAAGATAATTTTGACAAAAGAAAGAAAAGGAGATGGAGAACACAGAACAGGTTGTACCCGATCGCTCAATCACACTCGGTCGAAAGTTTGGTCGAATTAATTAAAGAACTCCTCCTCTCCGTGTATAAATATTTAAATAATCCGGTTAAGTTGCACCGTTTAAAAGCGGCGAACGGCGTGTATATTATATCAATTATATCAAAAAGGTTGTCTCTTCGGCTTCTCCCGGCGTTCACTTCCCGTTATCATTCCCTCCGCAAAATTTTTCTTCGACGATTTAACAACAATTACATATGCGTCGCAACGTGTATACATAATATATAAATCTCAATTAACATTAATATCGATATTCATCCGGCGGCCTAAATTTCTTACACCGTGACGCGTCATTAGAGTATCCTTCGCGCAATACAGCTCCGTGTGTGATGCAGGAATATATATCTATATAAATGTATGTATATTTATGTATATATTTATATATATTTATTTAGAACAACAAAGACGAGAGACACATATAATTTATCATGCGAAGCTTCCGGCTTATTTCCTCCGCGTGTCGAACCGAATTATTTCCATCGTCCGTTAATACGCGATTTCGGAGAACCTTCTGCGGATCTCGCGTTCCGAGGATCCAAGGATTCAACGCTGCATTGTGTAAAATGACGTATATGAGTGTATACGTGTGCGTGTATGTGAGTACGCGTATGTGAAGGCCGTTTTACGGCGCGGTGCGCTTGATGCAGCGAGAAAGTCGCGCGCGATCATCGTCGTCGTCATCTCCGTCGATCGTCGTCGTCGTCGTCGTCGTCGTCGTCGTCGTCGTTGCCATCACCGTGGCGATCATCATCAGTGCATGGCCCAGCCGATGGTGTAGTTACGGGAAGCTCTTCCCATGCGGCGCAGGCGATCTGCCGAAAGAAACATGCTCGAGGGAGCCATTACGGTGGGAGGTGTTCCAGGGACTTGATGATCGACGTGAGGATTCCCAAGGATCGGCTTGGGAGACTTCGAGACGGTGGAATTTGATGAGTTTCACGTGCCCTCGGATCCTCGCATCCGCCAGCGGCTCGGATCAATGATTCTCGAAGTCTGCGCGACGTCAGAGCCATCGATCAAGCTCTTCAGATTCTCGGATCCTCGAGATCACGTGGGACGACCGAATAGATGGATATCGCACCGAGATTATTTCATCCAGTTTTTTAATTACTTTTGACGATTTTGACAGTTTCAACTCGTTTGATTAATCAGTTTCGTGATCAATTTTCAAAGAAGCCCAGTTTCCGACATGAATGTTTAATGGCACAAAAAAAATGTCGTAATAGCTGATAAATATGTAAATGTAAATCGTACGGGAAGTTCTAGGTAATAACGTAAATTCCTGTAGACGTGTAGAAGCTTCATCGCGAAACGTCGTGGTAGAACCGGCTGTTAAAGCCCTCGGAAAATAAACATAAAAAGACGGGCAATCTACATCATGAGGATTCTTTGGACGGGAGTAATTCGCAGCGCCGCTACTTTTCCCGGATTTCCTTTTTTCCTTATCCGTCTCGCGCCAGTCGTAAAGCAAAAGTAATTAACGCGCACACTACGTCAAGCCGTTGCACCGGCGATAAAACACTTTACGCGTCAGAAATTTATATACATAGCTCGTCGCATTAATTCGCATGAAGATGCATGATATTAATTCGCACCTCGACACATCCAATCACTCACGCGACATCAAATGATGTCGTAAGTGACGCGGCAGTAAAGGCAACAAATTTCCTGATTTTCTGTCGGTATTAATTTAAATCTCGCAAAAAAAATGAAACTTTTATTCATTATATATAATTATTTTTATAATGTAATAAAAGCGAAATTTATCAATGTATTATCCCGTTTATTATTTGAGGAACACGAATTCTCTCAGCATTCACCCTTCGGTGATCTTTTCCTCGTCGTCGCTTGCCGGCGTGACGCGATCCGTCGTCACTTATTTATAGCGATATTTATATTCAAGAACGGCGCACGCCGAATAAAAAAAAAAAAAGAAATAGGCGCACCCCCGATAAATCTCGCCGACTCGCGAACAAAGTCGCGCGCGGCAGTACCTTCGGTAGAAATCAGATTTATTGGCACGGCATGTTCCGTAATTTTTTGCCGATTAGGGGAACGGCTGCGTCTGCCATACGGAGACAAACGGATTCACGCCCAAAGGAAAGTTCAGAGAGATTCGAATTGCGTACGGGCTATATCTATTCGCCATTTCTCTCGACGGACGGGAGGGAGAAGTTTATCGTTTTCGTCATGTCCGGCGGTCTTTTGCTCGCGGACCGTGACAAAACGCACGTGACTCGCGACACGGACGGGGGACGTGAGGGCTCCGCCAGCGAGTTATTCGTTATCGGAGCATTGATAAGGGATCGCGTCGCGGAAACGTGACTCAGAGGCGAGACACAGTCCACGACGGCGGCGGCGGCTCGTTAATAATCCAGCATCAGCCGGCTTTTGCGATGCGGGCAATACAATGGCGCGCATGTTAAGCAACCGCGCTCCGCGTTTAATGGGGAATTAATTATCGCACGCGCGCGCGCGAGGCCACGGCCCGGAACTTGTAACCGAGTTCCGCCGCGCGATGAAAGCACACGACGAGCACCGTTGTGTAATTCGTTATTACCGTGGGTGTCTCGCCTCATGTGAGCGAGACCACATAAGCGCTTGTAACGTCGGCGCTAATTAGTTTAGCCATCGGACGAGCCCTCATCGGAGTTTACGCCGATCGCGTCCGTTCGGCGAATTCGGCGGATTTTCCGTCGGCCGGATTGCAAGCCTGGCAAATTTTTCGCGGCCGCCCCCGCGGAGCTTGCGATCCAAAATACGGATACGGTAAATACGGTTAATTAACGCCGTTAATCAACCTGCGCAATCGAAGCGTCTGCCCGTAACGCCGGAGGGTCGCAAATTCAATCCGTCGAATTTATCAGGGGAGACACGAATTCGATTTTAAAATCCACGCGCTTTTAATACGATTTTTCCCGAATGGTGGTTTCGCGCGTGATTTACATATGGATGA